AGATAGATGACAACAAAGTCATCAAGGTACTCCCGAAAGATGTCGTTCATCATATGCTGAAAGACCGCTGGAGCATTGGTAAGACCAAAAGGCATGACATTGTACTCAAAATGGCCATACCTTGTACGAAAGGCTGTCTTCCATTCATCTCCTTCTTTGATTCGCACAAGGTTGTAGGCTCCTCTTAAATCAATCTTTGTAAAAATTCTTGCACGTCCAAGTTGATCTAAGAGGCCGGAGATCAAAGGTAAGGGATAGCGATTTTTCTTGGTCACCTTGTTGAGTCCTCGATAGTCCATGCACATCCGCAGTGAGCCATCCTTTTTCTTCACGAATAGGATTGGTGCTCCAGCTGGCGACTTTGAATGTCGAATAAAATTCTTGGCTAGATTCTCATCGATGTACTTCCGTAATTCTGCCAACTCCGTCTGCGATAGGTTGTATATTGGACCAAAAGGTGGTTGCGCTCCTTCCTCTAAGTCTATGGCGCAATCATATGGTCGATGTTCCGGCAGTATATCGGCGTTCTTCTTCTGAAACACGTCTTCAAAATCCCTATATTGCTCTGGTATATTCGATATTGAGATATTCTCGCCGCTAGTTGGAGCTGCATAAATGACAAATGGTGCGCCTTCCTTGGACGATCTTAGGAACGCTCTCGCTCCAATAAACATGGATTTCTTCATGTAGGTTCTACCAACAGGTTTATTATTATTTTTTTCAGGAAATGTTATCCTTCGTAGCCTCCAATCAATGGACGGATTATGATCTTCTAACCAAGAAAGACCAAGGATAACAGGGCTTGATGGAGTTCTAATAATATTAAAAATAACGTGACTACTATGGTCCTTAAACACCACTTCTATAGGTTCTGATTCGTGGGTAACGTTGCCTGACAATAAGGGTCGTCCATCTATCACCTCTACGTGAACAGGTTTGGACTTCTGTACTAAACGGATCTTGTGGCGTTTAGCAAATTCTTCATCTAAAAAACAAGTAGATGCCCCCGAATCCAATAAAGCTAAAGTTTTTTGTTTTTGAGGGCCTAAAAACAAAGGAATTGTAAAACAACGGGCAGGTTGGACAGAGAAGGAGGAACCTGATTGTTGTCGTGATATTAGATTGTCCAGCCGCACGGTTCTTACTGTGGCTGGGCATCGTTGTTTTCCGAAATCATCGCACTTCTAGTCTTGACAGGGTGCCAATTTTGCTTCTTTGGGCAATTTTCAACCTTGTGACCTTCTTCTCCACAGTACAAACATAACCCTTCCTCCATACGCCGTTTCTTCTCTGTTGGAGTAAGAGATCGGACACGCGCCGTGTCGATTTGCATGTCTGTTGCCTTCGAATGTGAGTTTAAGCTATTTGCAGACATAGTCACGTCGTAACGAGTCATTTGGTGTCTTGGACGTTGGTCTTGGCGATGCTGGAATAGGCGGTTGTCACACTTTACAGCTTGGCTAATAGCTTCGTTGAGCATTTGAGGATCAGGAAGAGATAACAGCAAGTCCTTCAAATCATCCTTCAAGCCCCAATAAAACTGACTCACCAACGCCTCTTCACCCCAATTAATGTCACTTGCCAATTGTCTGAAATCCGAGGCATAGACTGATGCAGAGCGTGTTCCTTGTCGTAGCGATCGGATCTTTGTTGTAGCCCATCGAACTTTATCATGCTCGCCAAATGCTTCTGCAAACGCCTCCAAGAACGTTTCAAAGTTGCTCAGGATTGGCGATCGCTTCTCAAACAAGGGAGTAAACCAAGACAGAGCTTGTGCTGTAAGCAAGGTTCCAACAAGCCCAACACGCGCTTCCTCCGTCGGATAATGTTCGGGCTGTAAAATTGTTATCAACCTGATTTGGTTGACAAAACCTCGAAACTTGGAACGAGTTCCATCAAACTTATCCGGAAGACTAACTCGAGGCTCCTTTCGTTGTAGGACTACTCGATCTTGTTGAAATGGAGGTAGAACTGCTTCTTCTGGCGCAGAAGTTTGAAGCTGATATGCTTTAGATGGCGCTATCCCAGATGCTCCATTGTTATGGAGTCCTACCATGACTCCTTCGATCTCTGTTGTCCTATGTGACAACGAGGCAAGAGCATTTATGATGGCGTCTAGTTTGGATTCCAAACTTTCAGCCATTTTAACGTCTTAACCTTCGGCTAACCTTCAGAAAGAAGAAAAAAGAGTTTTGACAAGAGGACAATATTGGTTCAGAGGAGGGTACTCCGCAACCTCTAAAACGCCTTAAGACTCCAAGATGAGGGGTAATCCACTCTCTCCAAGAAGAATAAGGCTCCAATATTGAGAAAGAAGAGATATCAGTTTAGAGGAGGGTAATCCGCAACCTCTAAAACACTAGCACACCTTCAAGAAGAGGGGTAATCCACTCTCTAACAAGAAGGAACTAGCTCTGATACCAGTGAAAATTCAGTCTTGACAAACTGTCACGGACACAAAATACAGACTTGAAATCTAAGAAGAAGTTCAAGAAGAAGTGGCAAAACTAGATTAAACAGATGAGTACAAGAACAACACCAGAAAGGTGAGCTAGAACTCCAAGAGATGTGTTGTCGAGACTGAAGAACCCTTCAGCCTCGACTCCTATATATACTACTGAATAGGAAGCTTCTCGAGCTACTTCCGCTAACTAGGACGCTTCTCCAACAACTTCTACTAATTAGGAAACTTCTCGAGCAACTTCCTAGAATCTATAAGAATATTCTAGAACCTTCTAAGAGAATCTTTAGAGAATATTCTAAGAATCTTCTAGAACCTTTTAAAAGAATCTTTAGAGAATATTCTAGAAGAATATTCGAAGAATCTTCCAATGTATGTCCATGACACAAAGCTTGTGTAGAAGGTGAATGTGACAACCCATGTAAGGACTTGTAGTAGCATTGGCTTAACTTTGTCAATTGTTGACTTTCTAAATAAAATCTTGGTTTGAAATTTATCAACCAAAATTTAATTGAAATATAGACAAGAATAACTCCACTTGTAAATCTTGATAAAAAATTATTATCAATATTGGACAACATTGATAATTATTAGAATATATTACCATTGCATCAAATTAAAAATATTATACAAATGAATCATTTCTATGCCTCTAAAGGCTCTTCTACAATCCTACTCACACTACTCTCAAAAATCTAATTTTGCTGCAAGCATTTGAAGAAAAGGGAAGCAAAAAATGTCAATTCTCGTATCTATAAATACAAATAACAAACATCATAGCAGTCCTTGCTTGTCCCTCTTGCAAATCTTGAGTAGAATAAATGAAGTTGGCTTTGCACTCATGGTTGTTGAACTAAAAAAACAAACATTGATTGATCAAATTCATAATTTGGGAGCATTTTGAAGTATAATGATCGAGCTATAATTCATCAAATTACAACATTGAGCACAAGACATGAAGTATAGTAAGATTGGATTAAATTAATTATGAGATGGCAAGAGAATGTGGCATTCATAAAATAGGGATATGACCTTAAAAACTCTCTATATATATTCTATTTACTTTTTTATCATTATTACAATCAAATTATAAATTATCATATTTGAAACTATAATTAAAAAATGGTTTGGTTTATGTAGTAGTTTTTTTATTATAAAATTTCACAATAGACTTTTAGATATAATAAATTCTTATATCAAGAATAATATTTAAGAGTTATTTTATTAATAAATTAACTATCTAGATCTATATATAGTTTTTTGATGCAAATAAAAGCTACTTTAAATTTGTATTATACACCACAATGAACTTTATAGAAAATTACTAATATATTCTATAATGGATAATATATACCTTCATGGATGTATATTTTAGTTTTCTATTAAATGCATTGTAGTGTGCAATGCAAATTTATCACATTTTGTAGTAGTATTAACAAAAGCTATGATAGATAATTAGTTGTAGTAGTAAAAATTGTGGAGCCATTAACAACATTCTATGTGTGTGTATATATCTATATTTACATATGTATACAATGATGGTTGCAAAAAATAATAATAATTTATATATTTCATGATTTTATTAAAAAAATATTATTATGCTTGATTTATAATATATGATTTTTATTGATTTACATTTAGAAATTTCATAATACCTTATACAAGTAGATGATTAAAATTATGCTTTTACTTAAAATACATTAATAAATCAGAATATTATGCAATTCAAATAAATAATAAAAAAATATCATTTTAATATATTCTTCATAATTAAACACGACTATAGTATTGATAGATTTAAGTGAAAAAATAATATTTGATTATGAATTTAAATTAAAAAAAATGATTTTTATTTTTTTTAAAAATAGAATTACTATTTTATGATATAAAATCATATGTAGTGTAAAAACACATATTGAAATTATAATAGCAAACTCTTGTTTTAATATACTCTCTATATATATTTAAAAATCAAACATAACCTTAATATGAATGGAAAAGTAACCAGTTTGAATAATTGAACCATAATTGCATATACAATACAAAAATTGAATATCAATTGGAAATGAATAAAATTCAAAGATTGATATTTAGGATACAAGTCAAAGAATAATAAATCATATTTTGATTACTTGACAATACTTCCACGTCAGTTGTGAAAAATATGAGGAAGAAAAATGCCCAGAGAAAAAAAAGAATGTTTTCCAGAATACTAAGAAATATGATTATATGTATTATATATTATGTACTATCCTTGATTGTGCACATTTTTGTGAGAATTTTCCCTCGATGAAGAGAGGAATCGCATGAGTTCCCTGGAAGGTGAGGAGCAAATGCGGAAAATAAAGCCGTAATGAGGATGATGTAAGCACCGTGGAAGCCATCCGGTATGTAATAATGGACATGAATGCTCCCCAGAAACCTACACGTAATGGTAAACTTCAGATAAGCATGATCAGAAAGACTTGTTCGATAGAAAAATAAAGAAATCGTATTATGTTATTATTTCGTCTCTTTGTTTGTAACCAGCTTATTAGGAAAATGGTAAGACTTCCACTGATTCCCAGAAGGCGCACATCACGGCACTCCACAGCATATGCCGTGTTCATCATTGTTTAATAGGGATGACTTTGAAGTGCATTTTTTTGAAATTGCTGGAGAGAGCTTACCGGTACGTCATTCGCGTATCCAGACGATTCGATGAAGTAACTTACACTCGCGATATGAGGTTGCCATTTGTCGCATGCGATGTGTCGAATGGAATACTGCCTTGTGTGAAAGATGCTCATACACCTTGTGCCGAACGCTGCAGGAAGAGCGAATCCGCGAACGCGTCGCGGAATCGAGAGCGTGGTGTGGAGATGTGGTCTAGGCAGTCGCGGTGGTGCGTTGGTCGCAGCTAGAGAATTTTGGTTTAATACATGGAGAATGAAGTACGGAAGACTGGGGATGGTAATACAGGTACTGCTACTGCTCACTCCCGCATACACTTGTTTGTGCGCGTGTGAAAAGAAGCCGACGACTACAACATTACTTTGCTGACAATTTTGGCACTTGACGTCATGATCAGGTCATGCTTCCTTGTTTGGAAGGTGCGTAAACCTCAAAAAAGTTTGCTCACTCTGCGTGGCAGATAGGCGTCCGATTATCGAACTATTTCCAGCACGTTGTGAGGTTGGGCGTGATCAAAGCGACGGCGGTATCCGAAGATGTTAGTCTGAGGTCTTGCGCTCGCGTTCCTTCGACGTGCGAAGTCTTTGCGGATTTGTATAATCGTGCTGGAAAAGTAGTCGAGGGCTGTGGTGTTTGTTCATCATAATGGAGAGATGACTTTCAGATTGAGTGGCTGCTTGCTTGGGAGGCTTTTACGAAGGAATCAGTGAAAAGGTCTTTGAACTTTTCTTATCTAGCTCGATGTTCCATTCTCTTCTCAGCACGTCCTGTTACAGTGATTTGGACATGCTCATCGCATACAACACTTTCCGCGATGGTAGATGATCATGAACGGTAGATCGCGAGGAACATGACACGGGGAGTCGATTTTTCTGAGTTCTTAGTTCGAGTAACGTTCATTTGAACGCGTTTGTTTGAGAGCCTACTCATTTAGACACATCTGTGTATGAGCGCAACTCGACAGAAGAACAAACAATCGGCAATTCACCTCATGTGAAGCACTTTTCGGCGAGTGAGATTTTCACAGGTACCACGTTCTCTGAGTCGTGCCAGATAATTGTTTTGGGAGCTCAACCTGAATCCATCTAAAGCACATCAATCTCTCAAACATACTGGTAACTCTGGCAAAGTGGATTTATGTTTGTGCTGGCAAGAAGCATTTAACTCTTATCGTTTTGAAACCGCTACCCGCGGCTGGTGATGAGGAAGAACAAGTCTTGTAATTGTCGACCCGGTGATATTTCACAGTGCTGAGTGTAAGTATAGTGGTTAATCACAATTCAGGGATACCTAGCATGCAAGTTGATTCGATTTGTATCCTCATGTGATATCGTGACGTTGGAGACATGAGTTAATTTGACACGAAACTGGACACATTGATAGGAATGACGCCGGAGTTGCCCTCAAAGTTGCGGCTCCAATTGCAAGTCGCTACCCTTGAGAAAAATTGGACATATTCCGCTTTTTGGAAGCCTGCCTTTGTGAATCAGAAGTAAGCTGTCTCTCTACATGCTGATTGCTTTTTATTAGGCTGTTTTTTAGGTTCCTCCTATACATGTCGTGCTAACGAATTATCATACTAAGACATATATTGCAACCTGCGATGCTAGGAAGATATTGGTCTGGGGTGATGGCTATTATAATGGAGTAATCAAAACATATAAAACCATTCACGGCATGGAGTTGACACCCAAAGAGTTTGGCTTGCAGCGTTCGCAGCAGCTCCGTGACCTCTGCCTTACATTAGATTCCCGTACCAGGGACCAGCATGCCAGTAAGCCGTTTGCGTTGAAAGTCGATGACCTTGCAGACCCCGAGTGGTTTTTCCTCCTGAGCATGATCTACGATTTCGCTGAAAATGAAGGGTAAACGTCTTTCCTTCCTTTATTGAATCTCGGTTTATATCATGGGACAGTCTCGAAACAAACATGTGCTTAAAACCTTAGATTGTAATCTTAGTAGTATGATAACAGCGAGTTAGGAGCTACTGAAGCCTCAGAAACAGGCCATCTGTAGTCCCTCTCGTGTTGTTATTCACATTTTCAATGTTACCGTTCCACGAAGACAAAGGCCGTGAGTTCCAGAATCTGATCTGCAATACTTTGTAGGATACACATTATGTACATATCCAATGGTGGTATTGTCATTGATGTGAGGACGATTTGCACAGGATGGTAGGAAAAACAGCAGCAAGAGGCCAATATACATGGCTGCGCCAAGCCCATGAGCAGGAGACGGCAGTTTTCACACGCTCTCTTCCTGCCAAGGTACTCTCACATCTTCATTGATCGATGGATGACCAAATGAAGAGGTGATAGTTGTGAAAAACCAAAATTACACCAATTAAACCAATAATGATCAATGCAGAAAAATCCAGCTTGCTGCGAAGCATTCATTGTAACCGACGCAGAGACTACATGCAGTTTGTTACTGAGAGAACAGACCAGAGAAACCACTGTGTGCCTTGCTCTTGATTTTCTCTAAATGATTCCCTGGCTAGCGTTTATAATGTTATCATTTTCAAGTATTCAAAACTCCTTGTTGGTATGGACTAGTCGTATTCACTACTGTAACCACAAATAAAATTTTCATTAGCATAACCGACTGTTGCTGATGAATTTCTGTACGAGAGATGCCACGTTGCTTGTTGCATAGATGATCAAGCTATGCCTGTCTAACTGACCTTCATGTTGTTTGCCTGGACATATGGGGACGCTTTGCATCACCAAATTTGACACATGAAGAGTTCTAACATCCAGGTGTCTATACTTGGTCAAAGATTTTCAAACTGTCTGTTGTATTCATTCACATAATCATATTTCTGTTTGTCTTATGTAAGGTTGAAAGGAGTAACAATAGTACTTACCGGTATTGTGGTGACGGACAGACGGTAGTCTGCATTCCTCTAAAGAATGGCGTCCTTGAATTCGGAACATCAGAGGATGTAAGCCAGCAACTCACATTGTTCTTTTCAATTCTGTACTGTGCTTGTCAACTTTTGTGGCCGAGGCACTGATTTTACACGTGATGCAGGTGCCAGACGACTCAAAACTTGTGCAAAGTATTTTAGCCTTCTTTATGGAGCCGTTGAACAGGACGCCCTCGAAAAATACTGTGTCTAGTGAGCGTAAGCGCGTTCATTCAGAGACCACTCGCCAGAAATTGGTTTGTGCGGGTCATCTCAGCCAACTTGAAAGTTCCGGTAAGAAGACTAATTATAGTTAAATTTGGTCAACTATGGTAATCATGAATCTGAATACTCATTACTGAAGACGCAATGCAGAAGGTTAATGCGCTGATGTCGTCTTCAGTGAATGGTGTGATCTGAATGCATTCTAACTTTCAGAAGTACGTCTCCTCACTTCGTACATATTTCATATCCAGGTTCATGTGTAAAAAACTTTATAACTTCAAAGTCAAATTTTGGACTCTGTTAGTTCCAAGAACTCACTAGTAACGCAGCCGTTATAGCGACTGCAAGGAAATTATAGCAAGCTCACAGCCTAGGCTGATAGGGTATGAAACCAGATGTAGTACTGAACGTAGGATAGAATCGTGGTGGATATCCAGAATGATCCTCTTTTTTAATTTTATAAATTTGAGATGTTGGGCTAGATTCTTCACTCCTGTTTTCCTAGTGGGTTGTTAAGAGGCATTGTGATCTGCTGCCTCTTGTACATGGACATGATTTTAAATACATGAATAGGATATCTTGTTTAATCATGCCACCTAGTTGAATGCTATTGTCCTTAAATGTGTAGATACTTGATTATTTCCTCCTGTGAGTGCTCTTAATTTCTGACTATCAGGTTGATCACGTAAATAAGTTAACTATGAATCGGCCTTTTCTCCATTTTGTGTTTTAATTGAATCCTTCTCAGTCAACTTTAATAGACTTGTTCGGTGTGCAGTTGCGAGGAGTCCCAAGAGGGTGAAGCGTTCCAGTTTTTCGACAGCTGAGACTGGGGAAGCGATCCCACTGAATAATGAGAACATCCAGATGGAACCATCTTGTGAGGGGCCTAGGATATCTAATCGATGTGACGAAATCAAGAAGGATGCTTCGCGTCCGAACACATTTCATGCCTGGAAGAAAAATCCTGCACCCTTGCAGAAGTGTCTGCATCCTGAGAAACTGTAATGGATCCTAAAAGGGGCTCTTTTTCGTGTTCCAGGGATCATTAGGGGAGCGCATGAGGAAAAGACAAGGAAGTACGTAGTGACTTTGTAGTTATTGACAAGGTTAGTGAGGGTATAAAAATCGCCCCTGATTTGGGATGCAGTAAGCTGATACCTAGCAGTGAAGACATCAATGCGAATCATATGCTAGCAGAGCGTCGAAGGCGTGAGAAACTAAGAGAGATATTCACGTCATTGAGTGCGCTGGTCCCCAATGTCACTAAGGTGTGTGCGTATTCTCGAAAAAGAGGCTGGAGTAACATGAACAACGTATACTGAAAATATAAACTAGACAAGTCGTAATAGTCACGCTGCTTTGCAGGGTATGTTACGTTACAAATCGTGCAACTCCCTGATCAACATTCACCAACAGTTATCTTGATTGTGAAGTTGGTCAATTACACAAAACGGTGTTTGGAAAGTGGTTGAGAGCTAAGGGATTATATGAAGTGCAGATGGATAAGGCATCGATTCTTGGAGGTGCCATTGAAAATGTGACAGAGCTTGAAATCGATTAAAAGCTTTGGAAAGCTTTGACAAGACATCGAAGCATAATGAATTTACAAATGGGAGTATCTTGGACACTAACACCACCAAACAGCACTTGGAGTGTGCTGTCATCGAACAAGTTAAAGATGGGAGCAAGGCAACGAGAGTCGAATGCGTGAAAGATAAAGAAACTTATAAGCAGGGAAATATCCAAGTATCAATGAAAAATGATATGGCTCTTGTCAATCTCCAATGTCCTGGGAATCAAACACTACTTCTAAATGTATTACAAACATTGAATGATTTTGAGTTTGAAGTTTGTTCTGTCCGATCTTCCACATCTAACGGAATTTTTTCCTTTCTTTCTCAGGCCAAGGTATTTCGAATATTCTCCTTGTCCAGTTAAATTCTGCTGTTGCATATCCTCCACTTCAAAAATTGTTAACATGAAAATATTTCGTTGTTTTTTTTTTATTTAATCTCTACAAAACTCTATCTCTTCTTTTCATTTAGGCAAAGAGTGGTCGTGGCGGTTCCAGGCCGACGACCATTCAGGTCAAAAAAGGCTTGCAAAGAGTTGCAGAAGGAATATTTAGCGGCAGAACTTCTACATCTTCACTTGAATAATAGATTTCAATAGTACATGCAGGGCTTTGCACAAACGAGAACAGTACAAATATCTAGACTATCTTCATCATTTGACTTTATTCTATGATTTTGAGGAGTGTGAACTTCATTTAGAGTTGGATGTGTCCAGACATAATCTTTACTTTCAATTTTCACTTCTACATTGTTTGTCGAGTTCAGTAACAAGGGATGGTGACTGCACAGGGCTTTTTGGAACTGTCGGTTTTACCGAACAAGGTCAAATCCAGGCACTTAAGAACCGCAATCAGTCCGAAGGGCTCGTACAGCACGGTTTTAGGGGACTTTCGCACCCTTCGTCACGTCAATGTACTCCAGATTGAAATCGTCTAGGGTGGTCAGCTCTGTAGAACCGTGAGCATCATGGTTACAGCCAACGAATTGTCAACCCTTGAGAAGACTTTTTTTTATTTGCAGTAAAACAGCAGTGAATGTTGGTTGTAGTATTCATTTTCCTATACAAAGAAAGCAAGCAACAAACTACTTTCGTTAATAGAAGCCATTAGTGATTACAAAAATAGTTTGAGTCATTTTTGGCGGCTGTATGTATAAAAATTAGTAATTTTAGTGAAGCTAAAAGCAATTTAAGTAGAAGTCTTAGGGCTATGTTGGCAAAAACTTGAACAATGAAATCTACACCCATACAGAAGAAACCATGATTCTTAAATCAATAAGAATTCAAAAATTCAAGGAAAAACATTGATACTTAAATCTGCATGTACAAGGAAGAAATTCCAGTGCTTAAATTTCACTTCTAAGAAAATTACTCTAATTCTTAAGTTGTGTGTGCAAGGAAGAAATTCTGATGCTTAAAATAGTAAGAATTCAAGAATTAAAGAAAAAACTTCAATGTAAAAAAACTGTACTGTGAAGGTAGAAAGTTTGATGCTAACTTCTTTACATAAATTAGCACCTACAAGGCATAAACTTTGATGCTTAACTCAGTAAGGAATATTATAAAGCATATTTTATTTTACTATCAAAAGTCAAAATTCACAAAGAAATTTGCAATGAAGACAAACATATCTAAAAGATCAGAGGAGTTCAATTATGAGGTTTGTAACTAATTCCTTACAAATATAAGATTGTCAACTTCTAAGTTCTATGAAATTAAAAATCTGAATACATTGCAATTTAATAAGCATTCAATTATACTCCACAACAGCAGCAAGCTACTTCTTAGGCTCTAAAGCAAATATCATATAAGAAAGTTTAGTGCTGTAAATATTTTGTGAATATATTGCTACAGTTAACTCCATATGTATTGTAAGGCAGTTTTGTAACTTAATTTTTTATGTAGGCTAGTCTGCTAAAGATTTATTAATTCTCTAATGAATCCATGACTTACATACAAGCCATCTCTGTCAACTTAGTAAACTAAAAGAGGCTAGATGATGGCATGACATTAGTAGTAATTGTTTGTTAAAGTCTAGTAAAAAATTACACTAACGTCATGTTATAATTTACTTGAGTCTAAAAAATTATTGGACAAACAAAAAATCGAGAAACTAAACTAGTAGCACTTATTTAAATTCCATTCAAAAAGTATTATTTGATAATATTTAAATATATATTTAATAAACAAGTATAGACACCTTAAGATTGTAACCAATATTCAAGGTGAAAGATGTCCGTTCATACATTAGTCAATTTGTTGGAAATTGTAGACCAAATTCTATAGACAAATTGGCTATTGATGTTGAAAGATCACAAGAATGGCATGCATGTTAAAATTACAAACACAAGTACTTAACATAGAAATAATAAAAACTCAAGTATAAAAATATAAAAATAAACTTTAAGATGTAAATATGAAATCACTTTTAAAATTTATTTAGCATAGTCAATTATATAGGGCTAAAACAACTTTGACATGTATTGAAATTCCTCTTTATGAAAAAAACCAATACTTATATTTATCAAGATAAAGAAAATTAAGTAGAAGTAAATAAATTTGATAATTTCATATAAAAGAGCTTCTTAAAAGTATTATAGATGCAAATTTGCCTTTTTAAGTGTTGCAAGGTGTTTGATAGGTTAAAAACTAGGCCAAGAAGTTGGCCATGTATTACACATGTTGGTTACTTATGATAGGAGTTGGTCATGTGGTACACATATATGAAACTTGCCTTACAAGTTAGATACATAACTTGCAAGTTGGATACATATTAAAGGTTCTATAGAATATTATCATATAACTTCTACTTAAATAATATGTATAGATGCAAGAATGAGACCTTCTTCACTTTTATCAAGTTTTTTCTTATTTTTAATCTAGTTACAACAATCTCTAATTTTTTAGTCTTTGACAATAGCCATTATAGTTTCTTATTTAATATTCAAAAAATATTATTTATTTTTTTAATTTTTCTTTAATACATATTAAATTTATTTATTTAAATTTTTTAAATTCATATCTTTAATAGATTGAAAAGAATGCACTTACAATATAAAATCTTTGTTTTTTTTTATTATTAATTTTATTATTTTTTTAATAATAAGACCTAAGCATATTAGAAGTTGTAGATTATTCAATTCTAAATTAAAATTATTTCAAAAATTTCTATATTTTTAAGTATTTTTTGCTACTTATCTTAGATTTATTTTAGATATTTTTTTTTATTTTTTTAATATATTATCATGGCAGAGCTTGTTGAAAAAAAAAGTATAATCGCACAAATGAAAGAGCAATTGAAGAAGTTAATATGTTGTTATATTGTGGTTCAGCTACCATGTGAAAATAGTACATATGTATATTTAATATATAATATACTATACAATGTAGTGAAAGCCATATTATTAGATTTAGTTGGTTATAAAATGTGATTAGATTACTACTTTGAAGTAGTTAGTTTAAAAGGACTATTATTGAGGTTGATTTTATGTTGATAATAGTTTTATATATTTAAAGCCACCTTTATTAGGCATTGGTGACTCTTTTGGATATAACATGTGCATACAAAAAGAAATGATGGATCAACGACTAGGGTTGGAGACAACACTTTTTTAGCTACACTTTTTACATATTGTTTAATGAATTCTAAGCTAGAATGATAGAGTTATAGGAAGTTGAAGTCAGCACTTGCAATCTTAGGGCAGTAAGTTATCCAATTTACTAGTGGTTGTGTTTCAAGCTATATTTTAAGAAATTTAATAAGATTTTGGCTAAAAATTTCCAAAAATATATTTTATCATATTACTAAACTTTATATTCAAATTTTGTAGCATTTAAATCTTGAATTTTTGAAATATAGAAGAAATGGTACTTGGGTGCTTGTAAATTAGGGTTTAAAGTACATGCTATGGTTTCTAAGATGCCAATGGTTTTTAAGATGCCAAACAATCTATAGTAGATTTTATTTTATTATTTTATTATTTTTTTCATAGTAAATATTAAGGATAAAGTTTGCATCATCTAGAAATTTGAAAAAAAAATTGAATAGTTGAATTAAGAGATATGAATTTCTAAAATTTAGGGAGAAAAAATCCTTTGTGAGAGAAAAATATTTTGAAAGGACTTTGTTATAATTTGTATATTTTATGCAAAGTGAAGAGGTTTTTGGAAGTCAAGACTATATATATATGAAAGATGGAGATATGGAGCTATGTCAAAATTTATGATATAAAAATAAATTTTTTTAAGAAGACTTTAGATTTCCTTTGAGCTTATGAAAAATCAAACTCACCAGCAATTAATTAGCTATGATTTGGTACAACAAAGGATGTTAAGGGATTTTTAGATGCTTTAAAAGCCTTACGTATAAAGCTTCTTAAAGATAAAAAGATTTTATTAATAAAATATCTCTTAATATTATTATATTTATTTGGCTTCTATAATAAAAATAGATCATTTATTAGAACTTATCCAATAAGTTAAAGCTGAACTCTCTACAACTAAGTACTCGGTGTATTCCCAGATAGAAAATTGTACCATATGATAATGTATAATGCATCAATTCAATTTACTATAACAAGAAATAATACAATTGGTTGGAAGTGAAGATATAGAGTTGATTGGAATTCCTTCAATATCTTTACCAAATTAATTAATTTTATTTCTATAAAAAATATCTTAAAAAACTTGATGCAATACAAAGTTGCTGCAAAAATAAATTCCTTTTTTAAAGCATCAAATCATGCTTTTACTTCTTTATTCCACTCAAATTTTTTTTTACAAGTCAAACATGTAAGTAAAGCTACAACTTAAGAAAAGTTCTTGATGAAGATTTGGTAATAAATGACAAAGCCCAAAAAGCATTGCACATCTCATAGTGTTCTTGAAATTTTCTAATCTATAATAATTTGGATCTTCTTTGGATCCATCATAAGGCCTTCGTTGGAATAATATATCCTAAAAAGTCAACTTGAGTAGTGTGAAATACTCACTTTTCTATTTTGGCATATAATCTTGTAACTTTAAGTTTCTATAACATGCGACAAATATAAAGTTTATATTCTTCTATGTTCTTAGAGTAGATTAGAATGTCACTTAAATAGCAAATGATAAAATCATCTAAAAACTCACAAAAAATATCATTCATAAAATGTTGAAAAGTTGCTGGTGCATTCATGAGTCCAAAAAGTATGACATTATATTCAAAATGTCCATACTTAGTTTGAAAAGCAATCTTCTATTTATCTCCTTCTTTGATACGAACTAAGTTATATGCT